CCCTCAGCCAGGGTCAACCCACCACACTGGAGAATGCTCCATACCAGCCTGCAGAAATGTCCAGTGGTATCTTTCCTGGCCAGAAGAGGATGGGGGGATATATATTCCTCAAACACAGCTATTTTGGGGAATATTTAATAAGCTGCTTACTGGATGCAGATTACTAGTGTTAGGGACAGGGTGCGTTCAAGATCACAGCCTATCCAGTCACTGAGATATCAGGTGTGAATGGGAGGCGTATCTCTGGTATATTTCTCCTGGCAATAACTTGAGGTCCAACAAATGGCATTACTTACTAGAAGCATTAGTTTATGCAATTTCATCCTCTTTTGGGGAAAAAGATTTGGCAAAGCCAGCTGTGTACTCCAGCTGTTTGACTTCCCTGATCTGCTGGAGCACTTCACTAACATGCATTACATTCAAAACATAAATACAAAGGTCTTGGTGCTTACCTGTTGGGTTGGGATAGTTGATTGCTGGAAGAGGAAACAGAAAAACAAGTCAGAACAGCTAATACTCCCTCAAATCGCAAATGACAATCAAAGTCTGAAAATAAAACACACATCAAGAAAGATCACAGATGCACAAATCTGCTAGCAGCATCCCTGTGAAACAGCAGTGCTTAGTGTCTGCCTTGGTGATGGAACAAGATACTGTCTCTCTGATCCAAGCAGCAACAGATCTTAAGAAAACTGCACCTAAGGGGTCATCCCAGGATCGCACAGGGGAACCTTTCTGGCAACCCAAGCAGTTTCCTTCTTCCTGGAGCACCCACTGGGACAGCACCCACTTAGATACCAAAGCTTGGTATATAAGAAGGAGATCAAACCAGTTTGAAACACTGTGGAAGTTTAAGATAACAGGTATGCTGGGGACACCAGACATTGTCACTCCACAGGACAAGAGGGTTGTGTAAAATCATGCAAACATACGAGGAGGTGGATCTGTACTTTCTGCTGAAATACAGGGTCCAGACTCCTGAGGGGAGTAAAGAAATCATAGGGTTGTGGGAATGGGCAGAGTTGTGAGCTGTTGGGATGCTGGGGAGAGAAGCATGGTCAATGTATATCAATGGGATGATCTGGGACTCAGGCTATTGGACAGAGCAACAGGTTTACTAGCGACTAGTCAGGAAAGGAATTGTGCATTCAGCTCTGGAAAGAACTGAAGACCCCTGAAATCCTCTCACTTTTATGGGCATGTGGCTAATATGCAGTGTCCAATGGCTATCCTCTAAAAAACATGCCACTGTGCCACGGGAGGCTGTAGCATGGCTTGACTGGGGACTGGGATTTTGGGGATCTGCTGCCCACAGAGCAGAGAGTGCAAGTCAGAGCTTCTGAGCAAAGGATGAGTGGAGACTGGCCCTCAGAGGTCTCTACCTATTGCTCTGCATTGATGGCAACAACCAAAATATAGTCAAATGTGATAGCACTGTGCCATCAAAACTCCATAGAGCAGAGACATTCACCCAAGGGTCACAGGAGACAACGTCTATGCATGCCCATGTCCCTAGGCCTGAGGCTCGGACCTGCTCTCGTAGCCAGGACCGAGGAGGAGACACCTACGTTCCATGTACCGGATGATGCGGGCAGCCATATCTCCAGCCCCAAAGCTGGTGATGGGTGTCAGGCGAACTTCATAGCTCTGAGGAACTTTCAGGTTGGGCAAGATGTGCTCCAGCAACAGGCCCTTCTCCATTTTCTTCACGGGAATGAAGGTTTGGATAGTGTTTCTCTGAGCCAGCTGTATAGAAAAAGAACCCACAGTGTTACAAAAATCCTGAAACTGGAAACCTCGGGGATCCTATCCACCATCTAACACCCAATTCCTCCTCTTCCTACACAGATAAGTATACCTGGTTTATCAATGATATCTTAATGTAGAATTGGTTTGAAAATTCCCACCCCTGGTACAGAACAGTGACCAGGAGCGTGAGCTCTTCCTGAAGGAAAGCCTTGGGGTCCTCCTGACTGGGGGACAACTTGAACTACAGGTCCTGGAGCAACTCTGTTGGAACCAATGTCTCCAAGAGGGGAGGAATTAGCCCAACTCACGCCCACTAGTACAAAGGTCCTGTGCACATACAGTGTGACATTTTGCCAAGATACCCATCAGTTCACAATCACCGCTGCAGAATTCATTCATTTGCTGTCTGGGCCCTGTGGCATTTCACTTGGTGCCTTGCTGGGACCTGTCTACTGCCATGCTTCCTCTGCACCCTTCCACAGGATCCACCCTTAAATCCTAGCCCACACTGCCTCCGCAGACCAGAGCAAGGGATCTAGTTCAAGTCAGTGTCCTCTGGAGTCACCCATAGGCTCCCTCTTTCTCTGGTGCCCACTGAGGAAGAAGCTGAACCATGCTAGCTAAACCATACCGTGCTGAACATTGTTCAGTCTGCTAAGGCAGCAGGGAAGTTTCAAGAAAACAATGGGAAAAATATCATTGTCAAAATCACCACCACTAAAAATGATGAATTACGTGTCAGTGAAACTTCCCTGCCACAGTCATGCTTGCTTGGCGGGGGAAGGACAAGAACAAGGATTGCATCGTGAAGGTACAATTTCCTGCCTGTTGCTGTGAGTGCCTGGATCCTTGTGGCAAGATTCAGTCTTGATGTGTTATTGAGGATGATGGTCCTGGTAAAAAGACCTTTGTAAGGGCTCTCCATGGCGCAGTGTTCACTATCCCAGATGCTAAGCCTCCCCCTGCCTTTGATACATCCTCTAGGCTGACAGGTTTCATCGCAAAGGCAATTCTCCTGACAGGCAGGCTCAGCGTTCATCATTAACTCCAAAACTACAGGATGACTGGTACAGGGATACAGGGAGGAAGGTTTACAGCAAAACTGTCAGTGTGGAGAGTGTGGGGAAAGAAGATGGAGTGAGGGCACGGCAGGAGTGAAGGTCATCAGCAAGGCAGGGCAGGGGAGCAATGCAGATGTGGTGCTTGGTAAAAACAGGCACATGCAATCCTTCCTCTGCCTGCCTCCAGCCCTAATGCATAGAACCGTAAGTTCAAACTCAGAAACGATGTTTGCCACTGGAGAGCTTCCCGTGCCAGAGCCCTGTTCATTTTCAACATGGCCAGGACCCACCTCCTCACCTGAGTTGATGTGCCCACAGTTTGAAAGATGCTCCCAAGTGAAGAAGGGCTGGACCAGATCTTGCCATAGTACCGTGCTGGGGCAGGGACTAGCTCCTGGGAATCTACGGCTGCATGTGGTTCTCACAGTGAACAACAACTTTATACCGGTTGTATAGATTGTACCTAAGAGACTTTTGTACCTAAACAGATCAGGGTGCAAGTTGCTCAAGAACTGCTTTCTGCACCCTCCTCCTCCTCCCCTGGGCAAGATGGGTCAGAGGGCCAGGGACTGCCCCGGTGCCTTCCCCCAGCTCGGTGCCTTCCCGCAAGGCACCTGGGAGCAGTCCCAGCGGGCAGGATCAGGGCAGTGCCTCTGGGAACCAAGCATGAACTTGGCACCGGGATGCTGCCAGGATCCATTCCTATCACCAAGGCCCCATCTGCATGCACACGAGCTGGGTGCTGATCCAGCTGGCATGCCTACCGCTCAGCCTTCCCATCTGCCAACCCTCCGCACCGCCGCTCTGCCAAGCAAGAGCAGAGCTGGCTTCCAGCGGCAGGAACCTCACCTGGGATCATTAGCATCAGACCCCCAGTTATCTGGGAGGAGAGGAAGGGTCACAAGCCAGAAGCAGGAGGCTGGAGTGGTACGGCTCCTGGCATGGGGCTTTTTGGGGAGCGGAGCCTGACTGTGGGGGGCTGGCGGCAGCTCCTCCCCACAGGCTGCCATGAGCCAGGGGTGCTGGGAAGGCAGACAGCAAACAGGGGGAGGTCAGGAGCCATTTCCCTTGTCTAGACATAACCTTTAGAAGAGAAACAAAATGGAGAGCTGGAGAGAAGCCTGAGGCTGAAATTCAGACAGTGTAAATTCCACCTCAGCTGGGAGTTAAGTGGAATTTGGCTATCTAAAGCCTCTGGGAGCAATGTCAAATCACCTACTCTCCCACATCACCTAATCCAGGAGAAACAGAGACGTCAGCCTCCAGTCTGGACTGCAAAGCTCTAGATCCCCCAGTTGAGTCTATCCTCAGGGGCACGTGGGTTTAACCAAATAAATATCTGGCTGCCACCCAGACATGGCTATGAAACAGAAATTAATAAAGGCACATATGGCCCCCCAGGGGGCACATCCTGCTTCCCAGGAGAGACCTGGATCACTAGGTAATGGTAACGGCAGAGCCTGGGCCCAGCATGTACCTCCCCTCGGAGCACAGGGGAAAAGTTTTGCAAGGGTCTCTTCCCTCCACCAAATACTTCGGACCCAACTCTTCTCTCAGCCTGTGTCCTGTCTCTATTTGACCTGCAACATGGGCAGACACAGCAACTGGCTGCCAGCAAGGCTGCCCTCCGCACATCCTTACTACAGTCCCTGCAGTCCTGGCATCCTGACAGAACTGGCCCGGGATGTCTTTGGACAGACTGGCTCTTCTGGGGGAAAAGCAGCATGGGCCAAATGTCTCCCCTGGGCTAGCTACAGCCATCAGGAGAAAGGGCCAGGTGTGCTGCCAGCACAGCTCAAAGGGCATGAAATCAGTGCAAGGGAGAAAAAGGGAACAGGTCCAGCTAGCCACTTGCTGTGTGCATGTGGAGCATGTGGAGCAGGTGCCAGCTTGTAGTCACTAGCACAGGTCCAGCAGACAGAGACGTTAAGGCCAAGGTCTGGCTCTGCCTCCCCCTCCCTAAACAACCTTTGCCTCCCTGATTGCCAGCAGCAGGTCTGTGCAGAGCTGCATGCATCAGTCCAGCAGGAACCCATTTTTTAATCCTCTGCTTCAATTGCCCACTGTTGCCCTCATTCTCTTGCTCCATGTGTCCTCTTCTCCCATGCTACCCTGGTATCTTCTTCCCTCCATCCCCTCCTCAGCCTCCTTCCTCTTGATCACGCTGGCCCAGTGCTCCAGCTTAATATTGCTGTGGTGCAGTTAATAAAGCAGAGGCAGGCACAGAGGACAGTGAAATGCTGGCCACCTTATTAGAGATGCTGAAGCCTCAGTGGAGGATCTCACGCAACAAGCTCATTCATCACCAGGTTCAGGATGCTGCCAGTGGGGCCAGAACAAGAGCACAGTGCAATGCACTGCCTCATCTCTGCCTTCACCTCCTTTCATTTCCAATAATCAGAGGGAGGGGATGGGAAGGGAAAAAACAAACAAACCCACAGTTGCCACCAGCTGGCTGTGAATAGCACACAGGCTGCAAAGGGGAGAATGTTCTTACAGAATGCATTTGCTAAAAACACCTTACAAAGGGCAAAATCAGCTCCACATGGGACATATGTATTCACACGCACAGTGTGCAACCTGTCCCTTTCCCCTGTCGCTTGTAAGCAGTATTAGTGACTAAGGGAGAGCACACTCACATGCTCACATGTACTTAGCCATCAAGCCTCCAGGACCCGCAAACTAGGTCTGCCCTTTCTCTTTCCTCACCATCACATTCTGTTGGTAGGTATTGTCTGCCCAGTGCCCCGTCTTATCATCTGAGCTGGCTCATGATGCTTAGAGAGTGCTTGACCCACTGTGGCCAGCCGAGACAGCTCATGGTCCAGGAATATACACAAAGAGCCTCAGAAAGAAAAGCAGGATGCCACACTACCCCTGCCCCCTGCTTCAATCCCAGCTGGGATGCTGTCACAGCAGAGGGCTCTGAAGTATGAGACTGCCACATCGACATTTTCTCTTTATGTAGGTTATTAAAGGAAAAAAGGATGTTGTTTCAGACTGCATGATATTTAAACCAGGTACTTATCAGCTAACAGACATAATAAAGCCAAAGGATATTAATAAACACATCTGTCAACAGTTGACATTCCAGTCCTGCTCAACAAACCGCAGCACAGATTCACGAGACCATGATAACCTACCTGTGCTGGGACTTGGCGTGACCTGCGTAGCCACACATGTGGTCTCACAACCAGCTGCACGTCAAGCAGCTGCATGCTTGTTTGAGGGAGAAATTAGAAAGAAAACCTGTTTCATCAGCAAGCCCCAGGGAATTGTTGCAAACACCAGCTAGAAAAACGTACATTAAAATCATACCGATTCTCCAACAAGCTGATTGGAGCAAAGGAACTGCTCTGCGGGCATCCAGCTTCCCAGCATTGCTATTCACTCCTACCACTCTCTCCTTACTTGTCCCGCTTCCTCAACAACTTCTCAGCTCAGGGCATGAGCGCTAGCTCTGCTTTGCAGTATCTCCCTCCAAATCCTTTTCACACACACTCACTCTCCCTTTTTTCTCAGCCTCATTCTAATTCCCCCGGTTGCTCCTTCCTGCAGCGCAAACAAGACGAGGGTGGCTGCACACACTCCCACTCCATCCTCGCCCGCTAACCACAGACGTGGGGCACTGGGAAAGCTCCCAGCTCCCATCCCCAGCCACACCAGCCTCTCCAAGGGGAGAGGAGACGGCAGACGAAGGCAGGCTGGTGTGGCACAGCAACCTCGCATGCAGGCTCCCTCCCTCCGACAGGCTCTTCCTTGCTCCCCGTACAGCTCTGCAGAGGAGCCCAATAGACCAATGCTGTGGGGCATTAGGCTGAGTGCCTCCCACCCCAGCCCTCCTCTCTCATCTGTGAGAGTCAGGACACTCTGGAGAGCGGATGTGCACAGGACCGGGAGCTGTGGGGAGCCTGGTGGTGCAGGAAGCACAGGTAT